AGGAGCTCAGGGAATGACGAGAAAATGATTCAGCTTAAAGTATCTTATACTTTATTGACCATTAGAGCATAGTAATAAATCACAATATTGATGATACATCTTTTCTTAACTAATAAATATTTACACATATTGAAACACAGCTATAGATGCACTAGTACAGCAAGACACTATGTGGTCAGACTTGAGAACAATCTACAAGGCTACTTCGGTGGAAGAACTACTCTCTTCTTACAGATTGAATAGTGCTTCGTTCCGCAATAATAGAAAAAGGCGTATCGAAGACGGCCTCTAGGAGAGTTGTAACAGGCAAGACACTGCGTGCTTGCACTCCAGCCATTCATCTCCGGTGTACCGGGCGGTAACGAAGCCAATCTCTGAAAGCAAAATCGCAGTTGTTAAGCAGCATCAGGATGAAGAAGCCTACCAAGGAATGAACCCACTCACATTTCGGCCACATTGACCCCGCCGTTTTCCGTCCACCGTGGCATATACGCACCTTCACGTCTCAAACCAACCCAGCTCCAGCGCTCAGCCGGAGCGTTCTTCACAACTTCCTTCTTAAAAGCTCACATTAGTGCTGCGAACATTCAACTCGTCCATCTACTTACCCATTCTACGGCCGAATTCGGTACAAAAATCTTTCCACCTTTTACCACGCAATTTGTCACGGCCATGTCAAAGCTCAATTTCATCGTCTCGAACAAATAACACGAATTGAACAAACGCAGCCAGCCATCTGGGCAGGGAGGTTCCTGAAACTGAGCTATCGTAGATGAGGAGAGCTCGCAGAAATTTCCCTACACAAACCTGTGTAGAGTTCGATGATAGTGCAGACGCGAAGTGCGCCAAACAAAGTGCGAGAATAGTTCTGCAAAAGATGGAATGGTGGAGGCACAGTACATCACGAGAAGAAGGGAAAAAACTCACTTAGCCAGCATGACTGTGGAGGTAGAATGTGTGCCAGGCATCTTTTATAGGCCCTACATTGACCATATTAGGACTTCTTGGCGCCAAATGCACTTGACGGACTGCCATCGGCAGTTCATCCTGGTCAAAAGTACTTGCTAGTGAGGACCGGTGATCTTTGTTTACAAACATTTTTCTGAATTCACAACTTCATATCGTCAGTAGGAGGTGGTCCTAGCCGTAGTGGTCATAAAGGCCATTCTCTGGGAATGTGTCATTAAGTCCATGCTTGTCTAGGTTGCTGAAGTCTCTGGGTGCTATGTAAACCAATAATTAGCGGCGCAAGGATCAAAAAACAGAGGCGAGATCTTTGACCATGCGTTGCTGCAGTCTCACTCGGAATCGATGGGTCCGTGGAGGTCATTTGCGATTTAAAACAATTTTGAGGCCTGAACCTTATTAATAAGGCCCGGGTTTTGTGCATTGAGGGCTGATTTTCCAAAACAAGTGCTATACAAGTGGGGTGGGCACGCCCAGCTTTTCACGCATGTCAAGTGACTGCCCTCACCCCCACCCCCCTAGATTGGCTACACTCCCCCTGGCTCACGAATTCCCCGATTCTCGTGACAGTATAGTAGCGGGCAGCAGTCCCACTTACATACATTTCTGTTCAAAAAATGCGGCGTGCCCACCCTACTTGTATAGCACCCCAAAACATTCAAACATTTTGTTTTCAGAGGTTTTCGTCATTGCAATAGCCACCAGAAAGTTTCTCACTGTTCATTGTTTTCTTTTCGAATTACCTCGGTATAGACTCATAGACTGCAATGTCATCCCTCATAGCGATTATTCGGTGAAATTTGAATAGCTATTGCTCCGACCATTGTACGGGAAGTTCGTCATCGACCAGAGTTCAATTGCTGCCCGAGAGGCGTGCTCGTATCGCGAAAAGGCTGTGGTCTGTGGTCGAGAATTGCTGACAAATGGAACGATTGCGAAACTGACTTTATCGCAACCCTATAAAATCAGCACCGATTGTCCTATGCTCAATCACTCGCGTTTTTCTTCGCAAGCGTTCACGTCTCCACACCTTTATCGTGCCTCATTGTTAGAGCTCTTCGCTAAAGTACAACATAGATCACAACTTCCAGCTGCTCCAGCTCCATACAGCTCACTCCTTTTTACACCTTGAGTAAAAAAAATACAAACCACTCAGCGGCAACCAGTCTCTTTTGCAATGCGCCACGCACTTCAGTTCCACTCAGGACTGTGATGGCACTTCGACGATTGGCTAGATATTACGCGGGGGGACAGCTGATATAAAGCCTAGGTTTTATCCGGTCTGTACGCTCATTAACACTGAAGGGATTCCTAGGCGATCAAAGATATTGTGTAGTTTGGGTCAAGGGTAAGGCGACGCGGATTGTAATTCTGAACTTGGCGTTTAGCTGGACCCTACCTACGTGGATTGGCACCTGTTTCCTTTGTTGATCATTCCTCGCGTATGTTGCCTTCAGGCCTTATTAAATAGTTGAATTCGTCATCTTGCGTCAGAGCTCAGTTTGCGATCGAAATTTTCAGTAAAACAGTATCGATTTGGGAAAGCATGTATAACACATGTATAATGTATAACTCAGGGCGGAAGTGGTGTAGTGACAAGTGGCGCGCTCACCACACGAGCGGTCCGAGGATCAAATCCTGGGTCGTAAGTCGCCCAGGCCAACCAAGCCTTCCATCCTCCTCCGGGGTCGGTTTAATTGGTACCAGACTTGTCTGGGAGGATAAAAAACACTGACTTGAACATCGGCTGGCCCCCGCAAGTCATTGTATAGGCCACATCGCATTCAAAACGCCACTACGAATGTACAAATGGAAAGTAGAATGCGCGTGGCCGACATCCCAAAAAGGGATTGAACAACGGCAAATGCTTTATCCTTTATCCTTCATGTATAACACATAGGTATCCTGGCTATTAGCAAGTTTCTCGAGGCAACCATTTTTCAGAGCCGTTGAAAGATTTCCACGATGCTCGTCTACCCCGCGAATATTCATTTACAAGGCAGTTTCCATGACGATTTGCCAACGTCGGTTTCATAACGAGTCATAGCCTGCAGCTAGTTTCTGTTCAAAGACTAACTGCCACTTCGTAGCCAATTAGTAGTTGATCGCGATAATCGAGGAGTGAGCTGTCTTGTTTAGGCTGCCTGCTTCATGATTACCCTCAGTTGCTTATCGCTACCTATACCGTAGCGTTGGCGGTCGAGGAGGTGGTTATATCAGTGACGCTACGCTTCAGCCATGCTGCTACTACCATGAAGGTCATGACCGCTAGGTTGTCTCCAAATTACCTGCAAAACAAACCTTCCTCTGCGTTTCAAAAATTACCTATTACCTATTTCCGTGGTATCACTGCACGACTTTAAGGATACCATCTGTTTTACTTCCATATCTACCCTCGTGGATAGGAACAATGGGGAACAGATCACTTCCGCTCTTCAAACAGGTTGTTCTTGAACCGAAAACCCCTCAACGGACTTCCGGGTTGGCAATGCTCTCTGTGTCTATTTGCATTTCATGGGATAGAATGTGAGACCTCGGCGGCCGCGGCCACGGATACTCAAAGGACTCACTTAATTTTTCGTGAACTCATAGAAGCTGAAGCCCATAGTTGGGTTTAGCACTCGGATTCCTTGATGACGAAAGTAAACCCGTCCTATCATGCAATGGTTCCATACAAGCGCATACTCTCGCAGGCCGGCCGGCCGAGATATATGCAGTACGTAGGTTTCCAAATCGCCCCTAAGCATTGGATCCCTACATATCCTCAATAGAGTCAAAAACCTCACCTCCGCCCTCACCTCAAATCTCGGACATATCTCACTTTCAGTGTTCCCCATGGCTTGGACAAAATACAGATTCGTCTAAGCCATGAGGAGGCCAAGCCAAGGCGTAATCTCCTACATTGTAAGTTTACACAGAAAAGCAAATGCTTTATTATCAATTGGCAGAGATCGTCGGCAGTTCCATTCCTCAAGTTGACGGCACACGCACTTCCCTCATCGTACGCCATCGTTCGCTATTGCGAACCCAATTCGGTACCAGATGATAAAAGACTCATTAGTTGTAATACAATTACTTTACTTGTATGATTTGACTGTAATACAATTACTTTTTACTTTTGAGGTTTTCGCTGGCAAATCTGCCTGGGAGGAGGCTCAGGTAGACGCAATCGCCGACCAACACAAGGACTTCCTCAACGAAGTCCGTCCATACTTCATGGTCCTCATGGGAATGAGTAAAGGCGACGCGGTAAGTTATTCATCTTTGCATCGCTGAATGGGAAGAATTCTTCCTTCTAGGACGCTATGGTGAAAGACGTGTTCGAGCCAGCACGTCAGAAGTACTTCACCATTATTACAAAGATTCTCAAGGAAAACAAAACTGGTAAGTTTCCTTCTCTATATAAATGGGAATCATTGGGGGAATTAGGGTGTCCCCCAGAAGCCCGTCGCGCGACGAAGGAAGAGACGCAGACGCGGCAAAGGACGAGTTACTTACTAGGCTACGATTCATTGCAGCATCTGGTCTCTTCCTTTACCGCGCGACGGGCCCCTTGGGGGGCACCCAGGAATTAGAGTAATACAGGCACTAGTCTCCTTAACGAACAATAGACCAGACATAAAAGATGAGGCGTGAAGATGAAGGCAAAGTGAGACTTTCTCAGCTGTTCTTTGCATGGATGCGTGTAAGCTGTTTTGAGTTTAGGAAGTGGAAGCATGTGGAATACAGGGGTGGCCAAAAAAAGAGACACTTTGCCCATGGCGCACATCATCAAACTTTTCATCGCACAGGGTGCCGCTGTTGATGAAAGTTTTACGGCAAAATATTCCTTAGATGTCCTCCATAAGTAGAAGCAGGCCCTCCTTCACTGCCCTCACCGTCCTCAAAATATGACGTCATCTCCATCACCGTTGAGCTCAAGAAGGCCTAAAGTAATCGTTCCAGCCTGAAGCTGCTACGAAATTTCTTCAATCGGTTAACTGACGGATTGCTTTTAGGGACAGTAGCTCTAAATATGCAAGACCCCTTCCGACCAGCGTTTCAGATAACGTCGTAAAGGTCCATGATCCGCCGAGGACCAGTTGAGCTCGAACCGTGCACAAGGTTCCCATGGCAAATTCTTGTGATGTCCTTGGTGCAGAAAGCTATTATAACGTTTATTGATAGATTGGGATGTGCTCTTTAATACTAAGTTGGGAGCAGTCGGTTTGAGTTTAGCAAAGTGTGATTAATGCTGTCTAATATATGTGGAGTGGAGTTCCTTGACTATACCTGTATATCTGGCGAATTTACTATTACCGTGTTTTCGTTCTTTTGTTCTTTAGGAAGAACGTGAGCAATGTGAACCGCACCGACGTAGAAGAGGCGATCTGTGAAATGTCGTAATTCATAACAGTAGTGTCAGATAAAGTGCGCGCATTCTGTGGACGCAGCGATAAGAGGTCGTTTTTCCGAAGCTTCTGGGTTTTAGTTGCGCTTATACCTTCCCCTTTCCCCGTCCCGTACTGATAGTGTAACATATTGGGATAAAAAAGTCAGGAAATACAAAGGGAGCATGAAAGAGGACGAGAGACATCAGAAGGAGTTGCGGTTCCTCAGCTGTAATTTTGCATTAGCTTTTGTGAGGTACCCTTTCGCCAAATTTGACCAAAAATTTGGCACGTGGTTCGCTCTGATGCTAACTCCTCCTCCAAGAAGGCCAATTTTGTTTTCTGGTTAGTAATAAGAAATCGAATGGATCGACAGCGGCCCCACATCAAGAAAGAATTCTACCGTAGTTTCTAAGTTTGTAATTGAAGTCTCTACTAAGTTTTGGAACAGAAATTAAAGCGTGGATGTAAGAATGAAGTGTGGTTCCTTGGTAGCTTTATTCATCTCCCCTGCCTGATACTGCTCTGTATCTACATTCTCAAGTTAGCAGGATATTCCAGTCCCAGTTTATGGTGCGTCTTTCAGTACATTTGGTTGGCGCTATGAAAGGTGTGCACATCTCCCGAAAGTACGCAGCTGTGCATGGCTCGAGAGAAAATCCCGGTCAAAACATATCTTTTTTGTTCATCAAAGATTTATCACCAGCGTATTCACACGAATTCACATTGGCCTTAAGGTATAATGAACTGGTGCTTAAGGATATCTTGTCGGAAATTCGCTGACGTTTGCTGATCTCTACGTGGCCGAGATGACCACTTTCTTGGAGAAGCACCCACAGCTCTACGACGGCTTCCCAGAGGTATGCCTTATTTATTAAACACTCGACATTCCGAGGATCCTCTAGAAATTCTCTTTTCATAATTTTCTGGGCAAGCTGGAGAGGGAGAAGATAGTGTTTGACACCGATCCTCGAACATGTCGTGATTGCAAAATCGACGAAATAGTTCTTCTTGGGGGTTTCAAAGAAATCCTTCGCGGGAAATTCTTGCATTGTTTCTCAACCATATGCGTATCAGTTGTGATCACTAGATGCAGTACACAACGTTTTACGCATGAAGGTTCGGTTTACGAAGAGAAACCAACTCACGAAAATTCATTCATGGGCAATCGTAATTCGGGCTTGGCCAAAGGCGGGGCATGGAGTAAGTTCGCACAGGGGCGCCAACGATCAGGGTTTACGGATCTACTTGAGTTTCTCAAATGGTCGCTGCCGCTGAGATCTAAGAGCACAGATCGATTAGAGAAGTGCCCTAGTACTAAGCCATGGGAGAGGGATCCCGCTAGAGAACGCAGAGGCGGGAAAGGGCTGGGTTCAAGTTGTCCGTCAACCACGTATCAGGCGACGCAATGAAAGAATCGAGTTGAAGCGTGCTTAGGAGAACAGAGACAAATCGATCGATAGAATAGGATGGAGTACAGGTGTGACATGTGAATGCGATTAGACAAAAGGCCAGAAAAGTTTCTAGACGGCACTCCAAGAACCAAGTGGAAGCATCCCCGTGAAAGTGGATGGATCATGATTTTTCGGTGAAGGATTCCCGGGCCCCCCTCCCCCCTAACATATCTTTTTGAATGCAGTTCGAAACCGATCTCACGCCACTTATTGCCAACTCAATTAAAAAGAGCAATATAACCAATAAAAAGTTTAAATAGCAGGGGCAGAGCACGAAGAACGAAGTGAACCGGTTTTTTCGCTGGCGACTGTAGTCTGCAATCACGACATGTCGAGCGTTGGGAAACAGAGTGATGCGTGTGTGCGTGCCAGCGATTTTCGTCCTTGCATTCATTATCGGTTAGCTTATATATAGTATATAAACCAAACAAAGTGATCAGATTTGATAGGGTTGAAGGTTCTTCTTCATATTCTCCTTAGCGTTAGTACCGCGCAGTCGCAGGGTCCGCTGCTTTTGTCGGTCGTCGCCACTTTAAGGTTGAAGGTTGTAGGTTAGCAATTTTCCCCATCTCACATGTCTTTTTTTTCAGATGAAAGCTCACGCTGAAAAGGTCCGCTCGACCCCGAAACTGAAGAAATGGATTGAGACTCGCCCAGACTCGAAATTCTAAATGTCAGCTGGATCTCATGGATGGTAGAAACACTGCTATCGGGACATATTTTTAACTGGTTTTATTTACTCCAATCGTGATTGGCTTGAGTGATGTGATTGTGTTTAGTCAATAAAGTGTTTTTAATAACCTGTTTTGCATGTAACGCTCTCACAACTTCTAGTAACTATTCTGGATACGGTTTTTCATTGCACAACATAACGAGACTGAACGAAAGCATAACTTAAAATTACAAGCTTTTACAGCTCTATTATGAGTGTGTGAGAGCAGGTCTCTGAAATCCTTGCGCTGACCATCGATTCACCACACTTCGACCATAGTTCAGGCCGTCGAAGGTGGGTGCTTGCCCCGTGGAAACTGGTAACGCGGCGATTAGAAACAGAGCAAATAGAGTCAACGCTGGCGAAACGTGCACAGAGCACATAATTATTTCATCGCCCCATTTCTTTCTATAACTGGATTCATGTTAGCCCACTTTGTTTTCGAAGCTGAAATCTTCTTACAACCATGTACAGTACTCGCCGTTTGAAATCGAAAATTCACGCGAATAACGCGAATCCTCGTTAATTTCGTGAATTCGTTATAACTCGGTTCAAAATTGAGATTTTCAAAATCTGAAAAAAGCGTTGAACTCAGCTCGTCGAGTTCTATAAGAATATGCTTTTAAACTTTTTAAAAAGCCCTACTTCAGATTGCGCCATGCACTCGAGCTTTGGCTCGAGAAAAAATTGTTTGAATGTGGTGCGCATATAATCCCGCTTATGCATCATGATCGTTCTTCAGAGAGATGGGTCTCAGCAGTTGCCCCAGAACGCGCCGCGTATTCAACATCGTCCATTGTATTGTGAATGGATCGATTGCTTTTTTCCAGATTTCATGGTCCCTATTCCATAGCGGCGCGTTAAATGACTTCAACACGTAGTCCCTGCGCTCAACATCTCCTCCTCTCGTGTTCAAATAGAAATCA